GACAGAATTTGCAAAGTACGATGGTGTGTGCACAACGCACGTGACCGAAAGATGGGTGAAAATGTATTTACCTCGTATGTACGCACAAGTAAGCTATGGCTGGAAAATTGAGCCTGTATCAGCACTAGTGTACATACGGCCAAAGCTTCCAAAGTAATGACTAATAAAACTTAAAATAATAATATGATATCCGATACCTATGAATTAGATAGATTTGTGTGTTATTACAATTATTTGAGTCCCGAAAGCTAAAATGTTCACTAGTAAACATCTGTTAGTATGCATCTTATTAGAAACTACAGAAAAAAACCACAACTCCAAACCTAACCTAACTCCAAGTTTCTGAAAAGAAGTTGACCAGCAGACCAGTTTAGGCTTAGTTGGTTAACCAACTTATAGTAACCTATGGAAAATAATCGTTGAAGTTGTTAAGCCACAAAGCCTATGTTAAGCTTCCTATAAAACTATATCTAATAACTTTTTCAATTATTGTTCTAAGGGTGATATTTTTAAAAATAAACCATGTGACCTAGTATATATTTGTATAAGTTCCGGATGGAACTTATTGAATTTTAATGAACACTTACGCTTGCAGAGAATACTTCCATTTTACTACACACACTATTAACCTACACCACAACATTTTAAATTAATAGGTAAAAATGAAATTAAAATGTCTTCATAATATTTTTAAAATTTTATACTTGTTTTTTAAATTTTCACATTTATTCTTAAAACTTTTTATTTTTCAAGTCTGCCAGTAATTTCTCTTTGAGCACCCTGTCATATGCATATTCCAAGTATATAATAATTATACTTAATCTTTTTCCCTCTATTCGTGGTCCATGGTTTGAATATGTTAAAACCTTGTAGAACTATCTTTTAATTATGTATAAATACTAATCTTTAAACGACATTTTTTAAAACACTATACAACTAGCACAAAACATTAAAAAACTGATAGTTGTACTACATTGTATTTAAATTGTTATAAACAATTTTACGTTTTTAGTATCTTTTTACAATCTAGACGATTTAATAAAAAGCACGAAATATATTATAACATTTTTGGTTTACAACATATTGTGTGTAACTGCTAAGCTACGTTGTATTTAGTTGCAAGATATTTCATGAATTTTAAAATTATTTCTTTATAGTTTATACTATTTTCTAGTAAGTAGATTTGTTGATTTGGATCTACATAAGTGTAAGAAAAATGTATAAGATCGGGTTGAAAAGTGATAACAAAATTAACATCTTTATTAGATAGCGCCAAAGATAAAATATGAAAAATGAGGATTTTATAATCCTCATTTAATATATATCCTCAATATACTTGTTTTACTGGAATTACACTAATTAGATAACATATACTTTTGAAATTTAATAGTATTTCAAATATTGACGCTCTCTTTAGATGTAATTTTATCACAATACATCATATTACGGTGCGACTTGAAGATTTTGAGCTCTGTAGTAGTGACAAATTTAATTTAATTTTAAAATTTATTAAACTACAGATAAACCAAAGTACGAGCGTCATTCTTTTCACGTAATCTTTCTTTGACAACTGATGAGCCAACATTCTTACTAAACTTTCTTCGTAGGTTCCCAAAGGGCCATCATACGTGGCTACCTTTTTACATTAAAGTTTTCAGAGTTTCGCATTGATTAGATTCAAGTCATTATTATTTACTTGGTAACGCATACGAGTTTCATTATTGTTTAATATTTGCGACGACGAATATAATGCACTCGTTTAGTTCACTCGCAGAACAAGTTTTCCAGCTCCTTATTTCCGCTTAACTTGCCTTTTACGTTAATTAACATTATAATATTATTCAAGAGCACACATTAAAAAGTCCTAGTACAATTACATACACGGCAATCAGTTAAATTAATTAAAGTTTTGGTCATGTACAATTTAAAATATAAAATAAATTTAAACATAATGCATTTTGATTAGATTAAATTAATAATACATTTTTGATTGCATACCAAGTGACAAAAATAATAATTTTGGAGAAAAAAAAATTATTATTCAAGATTAGGATAATGTAGCATTACTTATTTAATGTTAGCCTTATTTTGTATTGGAAACTTTATAAGAGTAGTAGGTATGTTGAATAGTTTTTATAAGGCTTGTTTTTTCATCAATAAAACACAATTTTACTGATCATAGATAATGGTTAAATTTTCATGAGTAATATGGGTTGTACAATTTAGTATTATTTTATATTTTTATATGCTTAGGCTTATGATAATTTTTTAACCACTGGACTATGCTTTTTATATATTTTGTCTATTTTCATTAATTATAAACCAAATATACAATATTAAGTCAAAAGTAGATAAAATATTATTCTTTTTTTTTTTTAAAGTTTAGACACATTTCGTTAGTATAGACATATTTTTCAACTACAAATTAAGCACCCTATAATTTTCCGTAAATAACCAAAATAGGCAACAATTTGTTGAGGTGTTAGTATAAAAGCTATCGATCTGCAGTCAAATGCATAAATAACATTAAATTTACACTTTTCCAGTCATAAGTCCTTTTGTTGTTTGGCTCTTTAGGATGTAGTTTTTGAACTTATATGTGTAAATTCTGAAAGTATGATCGAACGCAGAAAATTAACGCATACCATGTTGTTAAGTAATCATTTTTTTAACTGAGAAAAAACAAAAAAAATGTACATTTACATTAGGGTGGTTTGACTTTTTAATTTGTACCCCAGACTTCTTCAAATTCTTTATTGTATTTAATAATATGAGTGTACCAAAATTCAACATAATTGAACGATAAAACCAAGTGTCCAAAAGTCTTCAAAATAGGTATCAATCTTAGTTCTTTATTATCTAAATAATAAAAAAAACGTCAAATTTGTTTGAAACGTAACGCAAATTGTGACACTCGTCGACGGTGGTGGTTTTTTGCAGGCAGATGTGCGTTCATGCATTTTACTTTTGTCTCGTACGTGTATATAGATATAATAATATATTAATACATATCATATTTTATAGATATACAACATGTGTGAAGGTCGTTCAACCACCACCGCACGGTGGGTTGAAATGAAAATTACCTCGCATAAATTATAATATATTTTAACCATTTTTTAAATATTTTATATTAATTTATAAGTTTTATAAAGACCACTCAATTTAAATTTAAATTCTGTAAAAAAATTAGGAACAGAAGAAACACATATTTTAGAGAGAAATACATTTTAAATATTTAAAACTTTAATTTACAACATCTTATTATTCGGATTTGTATTAATTTTGTTAATTTGAAAATAGTAGTAGTGATTGAACTTCATTAATTAATTATTAAAAAATAAGTCAGTAAAATACAGTACTTCGGTAGCAATACAAATTTTAACTCTCTCAGCGGCAAAAGGAGGCAAACCAAAATGTCTTGAAATAAATAAATAATACCAAGTCTAAGCTTCAGATGTAGCTTGAATGATTAATAAAGTAGATGACTTTTTGAATACACTCATATATTTGCATAAATTTATAAAAAAAAGTGTACGTTTGTAGTTACATATTTTTTATATACATTAATAGTTGTGATATTTTTAAACACTTACCTTGTTCTAATAAATAAAAGTTCACAACCGCAGTCTTAAGTGAAATAACAGGTATCGCGCGAGAACATAAATGAAAGGGTAATTTCCTATCATATGTTGATAACTCAATCAAAAATATATAAAAAAATATATAAAAATCTAGCAAATAATTTTGTTTCTAGTTATAATATAATTTTCTTACATAAATTACTTTTGAAATTAAAAAAAAAAAAAAATTGAATATTATTTATTGTACCCATAAAACATCTTAAATGTCTTATTTGAAGCTCGGTAGAACTTTACATTACACCCTGTATATATCTTTAGGATCTACAGATCCACATCAGTTATTTTTTCGACTGCAGTTCATATGACTGTAGTCATATGTTCATAGTTCATAGTAATTCCTAAACAATAGTCCTTGATATAATCTAATCTATACACTTGTTTCAATCATTGTAAAATAAAATAATCGTAATAAAATATTGATAAATAAATAATAAATTTGATTATCTAAAATCTTCTGTACAAAATATAACATATTCCATCCAATTCACTCAATAACCCCTGAGGACTTTATGTTCGATTATAGCAAAGAACTCTGTTGGTTTATGGTACCCTTGGTTGTAATTGAGTTTAACCCTAGTTTTATGAGAGTACCACTGTTACTTAAAATCTAATCAAAATTAGATTCCCGAAGGTTTTTATTTCGCACAATAATCTGTACATGGTTATTATAAATCTTTTCTATCTTGAACAAAAATAACTTTTTAAAAAATAATCATTTTAAACTTTATCAATAGTTTAGAACTTTGTATATATTATTATAATCAAAACGCGTTTTTCAACCGTTAAATAATTCTACAGTTGTTGTAAAAGATCTTATCTGATAAATAATAAATAAGGTAAGGTTTTTTTTAATATTGATCGAATCTAAAAAAAAGAAAACGCGATACTGATATTGGTATTTTACTTTTTAGCTAAAGATATTAAATACATTAATAGTAATTGTCAATTAAGAAACTTACAGGATTTTAAATTACTTAAAAACAAAAAGTATTGTTTATTAACAATACTTTATTTTGCATATTAGCTGTAATAATGGCCACATTAGTCATCAAAACAAATTATAAGCAACTTCACAATTTTTACATTTTAAAAATTGTTTGTTAGATTTTATTCTGAGATGTATGATACAATATCGATACATTTGTATGAGTTCTCAATTTATTTATACGGTTCTCCTACAAGCCCAGAGTAAATTATGTTTTAAGACCGTATTATCATGTCATACATATTTTGTATCCTAGCAAACGGATAAACAATAATAAGTAACACTTCTTCCACATCGTCCAAACGATTGGTGTATTTTACGAAAATAACTTATAAAATATATTGAATTGTATATTACTAGTATTTTTAAAAATGCCCAAATATGACGATGCAAACGAATTGGGTAAGAAATATGGAAGAATCGACATGGACCGCGTGGGTTTGTTTTCGGAAATGCCCTACTTAATTGGTGACAAATACAAACCCGTTAATTTGAGTAAGTTAACTGAATATTATTTGAATATAGTTTCAATAAAATACATATAAAAAATAAGTACGCATTTTAAGTTGACGGTGTAAGGGATATGAAAAAGTCGCAAATGTTACCGGGCGTATTAAAAACAAAGACGGGACTTCAAGACGCTTACTTCGATCCAGAATTTAAAAGAATATTTGAAAAAGAAGGATGGCATCCTCCTGCAGGACAATTTGATTTAAAGTAATACTAATTTTTTTCATAATAATTCTACTTATATATTTTTTAACGTAATATTTTTAAGTACCTAGTTATTTTTCAAATAAAAAATATATATTTTTAGTAAAAAGTAAAAACTGACACACTACAATTTTTGAGTAAGTACAAAACAATGTAGTATATTTATACCGGCATATTCGACATATGAAAATTGTCCAGAGCGTAAATAAACTTTTTATCCCACTTTCTATATCAGTTAATGCGATTTTGTTTGTTTATTGAACCAAATAATATTATAACTTTATACTTGGAACGATGCAGCACGTGCGCTTTAATGTTGTTTACAAGTCCAGTGCCGTAACTACCACTGGTGAAAAATTACATGTTTCCAAGAATAAATGACATAAATTAGATATTAGCGAAGTTCAGAAATTAGAAGATTGATTAATTAGTTAATGCAACTAATAGGATACTGTTAATAAATATTTAAATTAAGCTAAAATCAAAATTTGTATTCGTTGTAAATTTTTTTTTTAAATCTATTTATTGCATAATAGCTTAAAGTATAGTAGCTTAAATTTAAGCATAATATAATCAATATGTACATCAAAACGGTAATAAATGTAAGTTTTTCTATTGTCCAATTTAAACTGTTGATTGTTTAATACTTATATACGGAAAAAAGTTGTAGAATGTCATAAAATAGACACAACAAAAACATAATTAATATAGATGTGCGTCCAAAAGTAGAGCATAAAAAGAGTTTGCCGCGTGGTTTTTAGAGTTTATAGCGTGGCGAGTTTCTCTGTGTATGTTTAATCTATACAACTGAAGGGCTATAGTTCGATTATACTTTTTGTTCCACCAAAATGTGGATTATTTTTCCATGAAAAGAAAAATGTTTGATAAGAATGGATTTATCTGGTTGTTGAACAGATCCCTTCAATTTTTATATTATGTACTTACAATTTGATACATTCAATTTTATAAACATTAATTGTGAGTGTCACACAAAGATATTATAGACCCCCTGAAATTTTTCGCACTAATCCACCCTTCCCGTATGACCACATGAAGATACATTTTAGGATTATGCAGTCAAAAATGAATTTAAAAGGAAATTTGAGTTCTTCTTAGTTGTGAAACCATAGTGGATGGAATATTACAGGCAAATTACAAACTAGAATTGTTTTAATAAAGACAATTACTGATTACATTTAATTTCCTAATTTTAAATCTATATCGTTCTAGGAGTAGTAGTAGTTTAGGAAATATTCACCGTTAGAAAAATATAGCAATAAATAATAGTCTAAAAATTGCTATTTATGAATAAGTAAAATTGATCGAAGTTTTTGTTTTCAATTTCTATCAATTTTTGCATCGAAGCTAAAAGAATTGATAAATAATGGAATAGATTATTTGAAAGTTAATGATTACTGAATATTATAGATCATATTTTACTAGGATTCGGTAAGTATTAAATAGGGCTTAACCATAGTTTTGTGCTCAAGGATTCCAAAAAATCTTAGGACTATTTATTAGTAATAAATTATTATATAGCGGGATATGTCAAAGTACAGTAAATATATTATTTAAAAAATTTAATTTTAATTAGCGTCACAATTAAGCACTCAAATCAACACAAAATAAACAACACAATAATAAACAGACAAAACAAAATGATGGTAAAGGCCTCTAAAAGTAGCTTACACCAGATAAAGTCTTAATCATTTAAAAAAAATCAAATTTAAGTTTTAGCGATTATAGTTGTTAATTTTGTGTTGTTTCAGTGCCCGGCAAAATGCAAAGAAAAACATAAGTAAACAAAATTTTTTACCTGCAGGCAACACAAAAGTACATTCGACGCCAGGCGACTATTTTGGAACATTTGGACCTAAACTCAAAGGTGAATACTATTAAATGAGAATTAAGTACAGTGGTGCAACAAGTTTATACTGTGATTTTGGGGGAATTTCAAAGCGATACCTCTCAGGTAACGTATGTATAAAACAAACGTTTTAATTCACAAGAAAAATTAAAACTTTTGGCGAAGTTTCATCTTTTTAGCCTCCTTTGTTTTGTTTCACTGATGAAGTACGATGTCATTTTTTATTATATATATATATATATATACAGCACTGTCAACTGCTAAGAGACCATCTCCAAAAAAAGAAAAAATTCTACCCAATGTCATAACAGCTCCGACTATCACCAGAGGACCCGGATACACTGACATTTGTTTGAATCCTTTTCCGGAGTACAAGTATGGTTTTTAAGTATTTTATTAAAAACAACTATTACACATAAATGTATGATACTTTATTTTTGTCAAAAAAATAGAAATTAGAAAACCTTATTAATTTGTGGCCTTTGGGATATAATTTCGCACGCGATTCTTAACCCACTCTAACTCACTCGGGCATGTCATCTATCAATAGTTACAAGTCATACTATATAGTATGTTTACACAATATCATTAATGTCAAAAAGAAGAAGTATTAATTTTAACATACTAATATAAGCACAACAGATACCGTTATGTATTTTTGATGATTTGATGTTTATGGTTTTCGTAAACAAAATATCTTAAAGGCAATAATTACCATATTGAATTTAGCAAATATCTTTTCAACTTTTTGACTTTCAACATCTTATTAACAACAATGTAGATTCTAAATGGATAACTCTTTATTTTCCAACTAACATTGCGTTACAAAAAAAATATTATCCAAGTATCTAAATGTGTGTACCGTGTACAGTGTGTTCTTAGACTGTTACATACTTATAGTGTTGTATACTTTTTATCTCAAAGGTCAAGTTTAATATTTTAGATTGAGAGGACAATATGTTTCTAAATAAAACGAATTTGAACAAATAATATTTGTGGTGCAGTTGTAAATCAGTTGTTTTAATTTTATTATTATTTTTAGGCCTTCTCCTTACGACGATCGAAAACAATTAAAAAATGTTAAAGAAGATAAAAAAGTAGTACCGTTTTTAGGCGGTGGCACTGGAGGATATTTTGATAAATCGGCCTATTTCAACGATGACATAAAACCAACTTACAAAAAAGTTTTCGAAATCAAATTTAAAGGCACCCCATTTATTCCATCTTCTCCAATCAAAAATGTAATTATATTTTTAACTACAAATATTATTGAACTTAAAATATTTATTTTAGATTAAACAGATAGCAAAATCTTAGATCATAACGATCCAAGTGTGACAGTAAGTAGGTATAACATAAGATGAAAGAGAAGTACAAGTTATACTTTGTAAAAGTAAAATATTTAATGAGATAATTTTGAAATCTGTTAAGCATAAAATAAGAAAAAAGTTTGGTTAGTTAAATAGTAATATATGTAGTTATAGAGTTTAGTAAAATAATTTATTGTTTAAATAAGTTCGAAACATAAATGGGAGTATGTTAAAAACAAAGACATGGATATGTGTGACAATGTAGAATTGTATAAAAAAAAGTAATATAAAGGGATAATATTGGGATGGCTGGTCCTACTTATAAGTGGGCATTTTAGAAACTCTTTTAGTAATACAAAATGTATTAAACGTTTGTGTGCATTTTGTATTGTTCTATTACATACAGGTTGGTAACGGGTTTGACATATGGCCCGAACACTCAGCTGATCGCTACATCGATCCACACAAAATCGGAAAAATCCAAAGTGGTAAAAATAATAAAAAAGAAAACGCAGATGTTGGCAAGTTCTATCCGCAAACGAGAAACAAGTCGTTTTACACGGTTTCGACAATGCAAAGAAAGCTGCGGAGTGCAGTTAACAATACCAACTGGCAGACCGCCGAACCTGTTACTTTTCCTTTTCCAGGACAATAATAAAACAACAGTGTTATGTACATTTTTTTTTAAATTGATTCTTAAACATGTTTTTAAAACAATCATAAAAAATACAGTTTTTTTTATAGCCAAACATGTTAAGGTATACGTAAGCGTTTTTCGTTTTATTTTAAACGGTATTGTTACTTATAGGAAAAAATACGTTTTTTTAAATTATATTATTGTATTATATTAATCCACGTTTTACAAAAACAATCGGGAACTCGGACTCGATGCGTCAGTAAATAATAATTACATACAATAATTATCATGTATACAATAATAAGAGTAATATTGAATATTATCAAAAACATTGTGTGGTAAAAACAAGTCAATAATAAAACGCACGCCGGTTCTTGCGATCTCACGCCAAAAATAAATAAAACCTTCGGTTTGGAAACCAATTTTCTGAATTATGCGACGAACAAAGTAAGCGCTATTAAAAATCGGTAAAGCTCTGCCGGCGGTTATCTTGAGGAGATGATCGCTGTTGACGTCGACACTCTGTGAACGTCACCGGCCTATAGTATTTAGTGCCACCCGCTTTCCATCCCCTAGGAGCTGTGTTGTAGTTGCTCAGGGACAAGTAGTCCTTGTACGAAGGTAAACGTTGTTGGGATACCTGTTGCTGTTGATAGCCGTTATTGGGATGCTGGTAATGTTCTGATTGAGTTTGCGACACTTGATAGGCGGATTCGGCTGTGAAAAAGAGAAAATCAAACGTATCAAAACAATATTTCTTAGGAAAGCGTTTCGGACATAACTATTGAAAACAAAATAAATCAATATGGAGTAAGACGTTACCGCCAAAGTATTTCGACGTTAATAATTACATAACAATTAATATTATTGACGATTATATAACATTATACGTGGCGTTGTTACTACCATGCATTTTGATAAACACAATGAATCCATACGACGTGCGAAAAGATGCATTGTTATAGAACTCTTTGGTATGCAAATTCGGTACAGGTCGGACAATTATTAATGTTTGCATAAAAGGAACAACTCGGAATAAAACTAACTATCAGAAACCACTAGGCAACATAGATTACCTACATAATGCAAAACAGTAGCCCGCGGGTACGTCATTCCCTACAGCGCGTTAAGAGACATTACACACAAATTGCACGTATACAATTGAAAGTTAAGGGTAGGGACTTCGCGATGAGAAGTTATTCGAAACGCTTTGAGCATTATTGAAATTAAACTCCCTATCCGCGAGCATAAATTTTCCATTTTAGTGATGTTTATTTCATTACATTGATTTCAGGCGACCGGTCGATTACCATAAACAATTAATATGTCATTGCCATGATTATACTTGGTCCTTGTCTACCATCGTATACGACACCAAGTCTACCTAATCAGAGGTTTAAAAATATGACATGGGATATCATTGTTAGCGGTTAACCCACCCACAATTATTGGTTTTAAGATGATCTAAACATGTAGACATAGTGAATCTGCTTATGAATATTGAACGTCGTTATTGGCTATATAAACACTGGGATCATAACCTTAAAACGGAATGTGTTGACAATAGTTTTGTGCACTGGGAATTTTACTGACTCCCAATAGCTATTTGAAAAGATAAAAAAATCAGAGATAAATACCTATAGTAATTATGATAACAACAGCTAAATATTAGCAATTTTGAGTGCACTGGTTTTGATTATTGTGTAACTCTTTAAACGCAGTCCGGTCTGGGTAAATATTGTTATAAGTGAAAACCGTGGAAATGGATGAAACGGGTGAACATGCTATAACGACATCTGACGGCTAATAGACTTGCCGGGTAACGCTGGCGGCGCTGCATATTTGTTGACATAATCGAGTTTACGGTTTTCGATTGAGTTTTGTTTGTGAGCGAACAACATGCTGGACTCGAGACTGTCTGGTGAAGCCAACTGTCGGATGGTTTGAAACCTCAAGTCACTGCGCACGTCAAACGACAACGATACACTTTCACCGTATTCCGATCTATCCGTATACTCGGATCTATCAGCGTACTCGGACTTGTCCGCATACTCAGACTTCTCTTCACACGCGGATGATTCGTCGACTAGCTGTTGACTTTCAACGTACTCGTAGCATTTACCGTCCGGCTGCTCGTCCACGCCGCAAATGTAAGTCCTAGTGTTTACCGCCGTGTCGGCAACGTAATAGCCGTTTGCTTGATCCGACACGGGTTCTTGGTAGTATTTATCTTCTGCGTAGACTTGACCAAACGACGACGACGGTGGACGTTCGTCGTGTAGATGCTTGATCTCCTCGCTCAACGGTATACGCTCCTCTGGCTGCAAGTACCGCATTATAGGCCTGTTGTTGTGTTCGAATGTGTCGATTAACGTTTTGACGGGTAGCGATCGTTCATGAATTACAGTTTTGGCTTTTTTCTCTCCTGTACTCGGTTTGAAACAACTAGGCGATTTCAACGAGCACCTGCTTTCCGGCCGATTTGACTCGGTGTAAGCGTTCACGTTCGGCACACAGTCCATGTACGTTTTATGCACTTTGGGCACGAAAACGTCGTAGTTGCCTTTCGGCTTGATAATGGTGTCCTTGATTTGCAACTCTACATGGGGTTTTTCCAACTTGATATCCTGCCTAGGTTGTTCCACTACTGCAGTCGGACAACTGTTACTGTTATCTACTTTTTTTACTGTCTCATATTCTGCTCCGTACTCTGGTCCCGGAGTCGATCTAGGCGTGAATTCGACTTTGTGAAATTTTGGTTCGCTACAATAGCCAGAGTTGATCGCCTGAGGGGGCTTCGGCACCGGTGTCAATGTCAGAGAGTTATCTTTGTCTATAGTGAATGTTGTGCTCGATAGATTCTCTGATACCTTAGGAGTCAGACCAGTAGAACATATAGACGATTTATTTAATAGACTAACGGGTGAGTTAGCCGACCCACGAAATATTTGATCCAATTTAACTGATCCTATACAAGCATTTCATAAGTAATAAAATGTAAACTTACCCATATAACGAGATATGTACATACCGTATGTCGCTGGTTGTTGTCGATTGCACTGCGTGTTCCATCCTCGGGGAATTTTTGGCGAGTATACGTCCTGATAACTTCTCGGCGTTACAGTTCTTGTGGGGGTAGAACAAACGGTAGTTCTCGAAGTTCTACCACCGTCTTTTAACGCTTCAATTGCCCCAGATGTTGGAGCAACGACGTATCCCCTGGGATGGAACACTGGAGGTACTTCTTGAAAGGCCGAATCGACAGATCCCGTTTCCAAGGCGGCTTCCCAAGGAGATTTTATTAATCGTAAACGAGGCTGTGTGAACCTTTCCTGAATTTGAATAATGTAATTTATCGGTTATTTCAACACATTGATGTATTTATTAAACAATTTTAAAACATACTTGTATTTCATTCATTTTTTTTATGTTGTCTTGTCTAATAGTACCGTTCTGGTTGTTGCAAATTTGATTATTTGATTTTATATTGGCCGACTCAGACAAACAAGGCGAAGCCGATTTTACGTTGGTTTCATCTACTACCCAGTTTTCGGATCTCTTGCGTCTTTTAGCAAAAAGAGCAGCGCCTTAACAAATATAGAAATAGTTGAGTTTTAAATTAAGAACCATGTATTAACTTATAGCTCACCTTTTCCTTTGGTGGCGTTTAAATCTCTGACTAAATCGAAACATACTTCAGGACTTAAACAAGGTTCGATATTTTCACCAAGTTTGCGCAACGTTTGTATATCTTGCACTTGACCTCGAGGATCCATAACAAGTTTCAGTATTTGTTTTGAATCGCTCTGAAAATACACATACGACGACAGGAATAATCATAGGTATACGTGCATACCTGTTTCATATGTACATTTTTATAATTTGCAATCAAACCGTTACCTGTTCAGACGTGTCATAATCTCGTCCATTCATACCAAGAGGGAAATTTGATGGAAGAGGACCTCTTCCTTCACCTGATTAACATAACATTTTTTAATATACAATTTTTTTCTAAAATACTAGGGATCTATATCAATTATAATGTTATTTTATTGTTTAAAAAATTATATTTGAAAAACAATTGTGTTTCTTTACCTTCGTGAACCCATTTCACTGATCGTTTTTTTCTGTTCACATACATGGATTGCCCTTTACTTTGTTGGTTGCTGATGTCACTTAATGAGCTGGAAATCCGGCGGGCTAATTCAAATTGCTGTTCTACCGTGGGATGGTCTGGACCGTAAAAGCTGCTGCTGGCGTACATTTTTCCTAATTCATTCAATACATTGTAATAAAAAAATATTTAAACAAATATTTAACGTTAGAATTTATTTACTGTTCTTTGATGGAGTAACTTCACCAGAATCGTTTGCTGGTTTAAATATTTTGTCTAAATCAACTTGTTTGTGACTCAGTCCGTCGTTGGAATTTATTTTTATGCCATTCGATTCCTGTAAAAAAAATATATACCTAAGATGATCTTATTAAGGGCTAAGTACACTTTTCTTTAAAGTTTGTATGCGTTTTATTTTTATAACCTTCAATCCTAACTTACCATTAACACTTAATTTTAATTTCTTTTTTCGTTATTATCAAAGTAAAACAACTCCTGCTGATTATAGTGAGTACAATCACCAATTTTATTACTCTGGGTGAATGATAAAAATATTTAATTTTCCATTATCCCTACGCGTATACTAATTAGATAGTGTTAGGTTAACAGCTAGCTCATAGCTGTAGCTAAGACCAATTACATGTAAGCCCATATATGATAAAGTTATAAGTAGACAGGTCCAGTATTAGTTTATTTATTACTTAAAATGTGTTTTCATTTAGTTTTAGACCTTTAAACAATATAATTTGTTTTGCAATCGTTGTTTTTTTTAATATTTTAAAAAACTTTTTTTTGTGACTTAAGTATTTTTTTAAGTTAAAAGGGTAATTTTAAATATTGATTAGAAAATTATATTTTTAAATTAATTAATTATTCAATAAGAAATATTGTCAATTTGAAATACTTAAGTTGAACTACTTAAGTTCCTAATTGAAAGTACATTGTATAATTGTTTAATTATAAAATATAACGAAGAAATTAACTACGGATACATTAAACGGAACCCTGTAGATATAGCTAAATAATATAGAGAGACTATTAATTTATTGTTATTATCTGTAACACAATGATAGCTTTAAAAAATAACGTGTATAGTTATAGCGTTTTATAAGTATCATTGACTGTGCTAACCTTTCTGAATATTATATGTAATTTTGTCATCATTACAATAATTTATCACCCTAAAATATTTTACAAATAAATAGAAACATTCAGGAATTATCAGCAGGATGTTTTTTTTTTTTTGAGGATGCGTCCGGACGTGACGCAAAGTGGAATAATCAACTGAATGATATACTGTAAAGTTTAAATATATAAATATTAAACAAATGTGTAGAAGTATTTTGCATTCGTTTAAAATATGTACTTGAAATAAAATCTTGACGATTAAGCGATTAAAATTGAAATGGAAAAACGGATCTCCGTGGCATTTATTACCTGCAATGAATACCAAATAGACCAATTTTAACTACGGGCAATATTTTGATGAATAATTAATCAACCGGACGTGTACTCTTAATGTACACGCCGTACGGTATAACGGGCAAATCCCCAAGACGATATTTAAATATAGAACGAATGAGAATGCGTTATTAGGACGCACCGACGGCAACGTCAAAATTGGTTGGTGGATAGCAATGGCTTATGTTTGGCAGATACTATCATAACGACTGTATTATCTACACAATTGTGGCAAGTATAATTATTATGTACATAACATTATAAACAAGAATATAGTATTGACGTTGTCGATCCAGCTGTTGTTTCAATTGACGAATATTTAATAATTTTTTTAATTACAAAACTAATATATTTCCACTGCTTTGTTAGACGATTAAACACTAAATACCTATTTGTTTAAGCTGCTGGCATTTTTTAATCGGTTATAAATAACAAAAAATGATTTTAACAATAATTCCAGCTGGTGAATGGTAGTGTTCAAATGGATAAATTCATTTTACCTTTCGTCCCAATAAAATATACTATACAGAAATTTTCTATTACAATTTTAAAACATGATATTCGTTAATTGTTACAATAATATGTAATGTAATTTATTTATTTTAATTTTAAATTAGGTCAAGACAATTTCGTTAAATCCGAAAATTAAGTTTAACATAACTGAATCGTACCATAAACATATATGGTTTTGGATAAATTCCAAAATGCAAGTATGTGTGTATAATGATGTTGAACGATAAACCGCCCGTTTCAATTAATTCAAAGTTTATATCTAGTAGTAATTAGCATTAAGTATTAAGGGGATTCGATACCGACCGTCTTTAAGGAGTTTTGTATATGCAATATTTAAGAAAAAAGTGGTTTTAATCAATTTAGATCATGTCAATTAATTTACCGGTTAATTTGTACAAGCTTCATGGTATTATTTTTAATTTAAATCATTTTGTCTATGAGTAAAATTCCATTTAAGTTAATGGTATAGTACATTTTTTGTCCATTGCACAGGCCGAACCAGTGATCCGATAAGTAATCTGAAAACAAATTTGAATTCGTTTTGAAGTTTACTTGGGATCCTCAAGATACTTTTTTGATATATTTTTCTTACTATGAATAAGAAACGTTTGAACATTTTATACAATTTTAAATTTTAAAACAAATTTGTAAAGGGTTATAATTCAAAATTGGAAAAAGTGCCTCGTAGGATCTCAAGTAAACTTCATGACAAATATAAATCTGTTTTCAAATTACTTATCGGATTACTGGTTCGGCCTGTGCGATGGACAAAAAATTATGTATTTTGACTGAAAAAAAACGGCCGGTATCGAATCCCCTTAATTGAACTATACATTTTAAAGGTATCATTAAATACAGGGTGATTCTTTTATCATGAACCAGTCAATATCTCACTGGGTTTAACTATTAATTGAATTTTTTTTTTCATATTGTTTTTATTGAATGTGATCTTAATTTTCACAATTTTTTTTTGTTATTACCCTTCTTCCAACTTAGATTTTTTGATAGCAACTTTTGAAACTTAAAAGGTAACGTATATATTTTATTATCTTTTTGAATAGAGAATAACGTATTACAAATTTTGACTGGTCGATAACCAGTTTCGGATAACTATTTTTGAAGTTATTAGAGTTTAAAAGTTAGGATGGGAGGGGAAGTGGAGTGTAGTATTATTTTTATCTATGCGCGTTTGAGGCGCCTAGTTTCAAAACCAGCTATACAATTTTTGAAAATTTTCACAAAACAACAATTCATTTCTTTAGACAGAACTAACCAAGATTTTCAAACAAACACAGTTTGAATTAGTTATATTATTGATTTGATATTCAATACCAGTTTTACATAACATGTAATATATTATGGTTACTTAAAAAACCAACACGTAGTCAAAATGTCTTAGGGCTGGTTTTGAAACTAGAGATGCCTTATTTTCCATCAGCACTTCCCCTCCCATCCTAACTTTTAAACTCTAATAACTTCAAAAATAGTTATCCGAAACTGGTTATCGACCAGTCAAAATTTGTAATACATTATTTTCTATTTAAAAGGGTAATACAATATATACGTTACCATTTAGGTTTCAAAGTTGCTATCAAAAAATCTAAGTTGGAACAGGGGTAAAAACAAAAACAATTTTGAAATATTAAAACCACATTGAATAAAAACAATATGAAAAAAAAATTCAATTAATAATTAAACCTAGTGAGATATTGACTGGTTCATGATAAAATTATCACCCTGTATATAATTTAATTACAATCCGTTTGACTTATAAAGTTATATTTTTAGATATTTAATTTTATTCATCTTCATCAGCATGATTATATTATTGTAGTTGTTTTCAAAACTTTTGTCGAATTACGCATTTCAGAGTATGGTTAAAATTAGAATGAGTTGTTTTCGAACATAAATATACAGAAGCTTTATTTTTTTAAATATAACGTTAAATATTTACAAAAATGTTAGACTATATAAATACAGGTTATGAATTTGTATGTGATTTTTTAACAGGTATTTTAATAACAATAAGTGTTTTTAGATATTTCTATAAAAAATTAGAAATATCGATTTCGCTTACTAAAATATTACAATTTTGGGCACTATCAAAAAAATAATAACCAGACAGTTATTTTTATCTTAACATTATTTTGTTAACAGGTAATAATAGCAGACTGGGAAAATAGTTGGGAAAATAGCAGACTCTTTACTCATGACATGCTTGAGTTAAAAAGTACTTTTTACAAAAACTGTTCATTTAGGTTGTAAAAACTTATATACAGTTAGTACATACAGATATTTTAGTGTACGATTATTTACGATATTTATTATAAACTGATAAAAAAAAATAATTCGATGGTCTATGACAAATATGAATTCTTAAGGTACCCTACATATTATTCTGTTAACTATAATTTTGCTTTGGAAAACCGCATGCACTCATCATTATAATAATATAAATTGTACCATGTCACGCATCATAAACAAAACGCTCGCAGTTGCCCAAAACCAAGGACTCAATTATTAAACGTCTGTATGTTAGATAAAGTAAATAAATTATATTTTAAAAATAGTAAAAACTATAATTAGACAATACCGTTAAAGATAAGTAATATTTTAAATATTATTAATTGTGGATGATTGCTAATACACATAATTTGTTGACTATTAGATAAAATTAACATTGAAATAACTCCTATTTTTTTTTAAATAACTGAAATAAAAAAAAGAATCCAAGGTGTAATTATTGTAAAATATTTGAATAGTTATTTACTACTATAAAATATAATATGTTAAAGAAAAAAATAGTTTCTCAAAAGCAAAAGGAGGGAAGGTAAAATTGTCTGGAATACTTATATATAATCCTCGTCCACTCCCATTAAAAAAATCAAATCATGCAATATACTGTATCGAAAATATAGTTGATTTAAGATTTAAGATAAATATTACATTAAAAAAAAAACTTTGTTAATAGTTTAAATATTATTCTATTATATTTTAGTACTGTTACTATGACGTACAATGAAAGCTTTGAAAACATTATCACGACAAAATATTTTAACTTAATTTTTCTTTTTGTAGATGGGCAGGGGGTGGTTAATAATAAGCGTTTTGTACACATCATATTATTTTTAAAAAATTAATTTTTTTTTTTAGTTTTCAGAAAAACTATAACAAAATTAGTGTTTGGGGACGTGATGTAAGTACCTGCATATTTTTTTTGGTTTTTTCATCATCCGTAACGACTATCTTTGGTATTGCCTTTCTATCCAAACTTCCGTACCACCCGGCAGTGGTTACTGACCTCCACGATTTTGTGGACATTGTTTTTAAACGTACTCACGCAGCCCGCCGATACCAACTGAT